TGTTGCTCGGTCTGGAGCATGGCGGATGCGATGGCCATCTCGACCTATCTCACCCAGAGCAGAATGTTCTCTCCATCCCTCCCATCAAAGACCTTAACCTCACCATGCTCACCATGAGCGGCTTAGGTCGGGGAAAATCATCCGTCACCGAGGGTGGCGTCATGGACGCAAATGATGCAGACATCTTTTGCTGCAGGTGCTCTAGCAGCGCGTTTTCGTAACTTAAAAACGCCTCTAGACGCGCACCGATTGCCTCGGGACCTTGCGCTACAAGGTATTGCACGCCCTCAGGGCCAAACAAGGACATCAGCTTGTTAAGCCCGTCCTACATGCCCTGGGGCAAAGAGGAGAATTCCTCTATCCTCACAGAGGATCAGTCTAAACGACTCAGGTGTAGATTGACTACAAGTGCTACCAAGTGCAGCGGGGCTGCCGTAGCTTAGCGCTTGAGGAAGCGTAATTTAGGTCACCGACCTTTTGTTCTATACTTAGAACAAGCACGAGTTTGCGGATCACAATCCGCTTACTCCAAGAGTAATTACTGCCTTATCCAAGGCTTATTAGCTCTTCTGTTTAAAATCCAAAACTGATTTTTATTTATTTTTTATCTGAGGCACGCCGCCTAATTTTGAATGTTTAGATTTTTCTAAATATACTGAAAATGTAGAGTAAAATCTAAAAGCATGCATAACTATTGGCTACCTAGCCACGTACCGTATTCTTGTTTGGGTGTGGTCACACCATGTACATCTCGTGCGTGTTACCAGTACGTGTAATCCCGTTACACTAGCCCTGAACAAAATCGTAACGCGTCAAGTCATCTCCTTTTCATACTAGCCAAACGCTTCCACGCGGTCGGCTGGCAACAATCCCGCCAAGCTTCCTGGGAAGTTTTGCTTTGAAGATGCTTCCCATCATCAGAACGAACTTGTTCCTTTGAGAGGCGTTCAGATAATTGTCATCGTTTCGATTTGTCATTATTAGGAGATCAAAGTAACATTCTAAGGTATAGGAGTATCTACGAGTGCTACTGAGTGTGGCGAGAACCTCACATGAGAAACCTTAAAGAGTTGTATTTGCTAATAGTGAATATATTTTTAGAAAAGTATGCAAGAGCGACAACCGTGCCATCATAGAGACTACAATTTTAATTGCGCCAAATGAATCATTGCGGTGATAAGGGCTCTGCTTGATCAGCCACCAGGTGCCGAGGTCAGCCTTCCGTGCTTCGAAAAACCTTTGAAGCGTCAGAAGCCATCTTTTCTGCAGTTAAAGCTAAACCTAACAAAAATGTCTCAGGATTTAGAATTTTCGAAACCCAGCGTTTCTAATATTTTGACATTAAGTGTAACACATCACAATAGGTCAGTGGTGCTGCCGCGCAATAGATACGCATCTTAAATTTTCGTTCATGTCATTTATTGAATGACCAGCCAATATGATGATCCAGATGCGATAAGTATTAGATCAAAAGATTCGTGTCTGCCACGCAGTGACAAAAGTATCCCAATGAATAATGTGAGTGAGTTCGCATGAATGCAGTTTCAAGAAATTCCGTTTCTTTTCCTGTGCGCTATAAAAATGAATACATGCTATAATTTACGCATCTTGGGGTCACGAAGGACTTGGCGCTCGGACAAAAGATGCTGCACGGAAGATAACTTCTCTGTAAGCCTCCAAAATCAGCTGCACAACATCACTGTGAGAACTGACTAAAGCTAAGTTATTTTTCCCGAGTTGCTCTCGTGCATGAAGTCAAACGCGTTTCAGTTTCATGGCAGCTCTCGTTCACTGTCTTTTAAAACACTTTTAAACCTGATTCCCAGGCCTCTGAGCCTTCAAATCCCGTCTCCTGCTGCTGCTCTTACTACCTCTTATAGACTCTTGAAGGTGTACAATTGTTCCATTGTTTGCACAACACCCCTGTCTTCTGTTCTCAGTCTCATTGATAACGGACGCACTTTCTTGTGCAAATTGCGAGCAGTTAGAGTAGAATATAAACTCTTAATTCTAAGAGGTTTCATCGCTTGTCTTAAAACCATGATATCCAGATTGTTGATAACAATTTTGTTTTGTACATACTGCAAACGAATGAAGATATGATAATGATGCACGTGTTATGAATTATCAGCGTAGCAGCATAGTCCACTTTTGTCATTTCACTACTTGCACCAATTGAATCTGATGGTCGTATGTGTATTGGCAAACACGAAATTCTGGACAAAGTGTTCTAGCTATCACAGTTTTGAATGTTCCAGCACTCAACTTATTGTACATCTGATTACGCAGACTACCTAACCACAGAAAGCTGAAGCAAGTGTCTCAGCTGTCCAACGTTGAGCTTAGAAAAATACTCTCGACAGCTAAGCGGAGCCCATATTGGCAGACGAGAGCCAGACTCATGAAAATTTGGTCAAATACCCAATCAATCGAGAACTTAAATTTGACAGAAGATACGGAACGATAAGACGTAGATGTTTCAATCTAGGATCTAGCGGTGAAGAGTGTAGACAGTGACCGAGGAATTCAAGTGCAGGCATCGATAGTATTGGTGCTAGCGACGTGGTGTTAAATTTCATGATTAGCCAGCCTAAACTTTTCGTTGCCACTTTGATTTCTGAAATGACCGCGATGTTTTAATCAAGTATGATCGTGCCTTGATTTTGGAGATTGACAACAAAATATAGTGCAAAAATGTTCGATGGTCGGGTGAATGTTGGACGGCAAGCGACATGCACCATGATTGTTATCTGTCGTTTCATTAGCTGTTGTCTATATGCTGCCTATTCGGCAAAGATTGATGCAATCGGAAACCTGAGAATACCAAGTCAGAACTGATGGATCTCGTGTAGGTAAATTTGTCAGCCTTATCTTCATGTGCGATCACGAGCAATCATATGGAATCTTCATGCCACTGTAAATTCTTTCACTTCAGCGATGTATGGAATCGTATCCGCTGAAACGAATGGCGACATTACCCACAATCTTATCAAGAGTAACAACGATTGATATATGAGGGCATAGGCGGCTAAGAAGATCCTTAACTTGTCACGACTGACAACCTTTCGACGTGCACAATTTCCGCAGACAAATTGCTAGTAAGATCCGAGATACATTCAAACACGTATCACTAACTATCGTGTTGCCGTGCTGATAATTCTCAGCATCCTCTGCTTTTTAGCTGGTGTATAGGGCTACATTCTAATTGGGTGAGATGGAATCAGGTAGATTCACACTTAAGATATCCAAATAGCATTTTTCTTGCACATATTTTATGGAGGTGGGATCGATAGAATAATTGCCTGCCAGATATACAACCGTTCGTCAAGCTTCCAAAGAATCGCATCCTACCTCAAAATGTACAAAACCACCGCGATGACACAGACTGCAAATATTTAGCATCCCATGGTGACGTTTTTTTCATTTGGATTCTTGTGGTGGGACTATTTAATGATCGCAAGAAGTTACAGCGAGATATATGCTGATACTGTCATTCCTATCTGATCACCGGGTCCCACGTGCGAATGTGTATATATTAGTGTCTTCAAGGGGCCGTCAAAGCTGCCGAAGCTATTAAAATGCCGAGCCTAATTTTTATAAGCAGTACCGTCTGCTATAGCAAGATAACAAAGCTCATACTGTAATAAGTGAAGATTAGATTGTGTCTGAGCGTTTTCCACGATCTTATTAAAGTGTACGAAATTATAGAATTTTGTGGTGTGTGCGGTCTGCGTGAGAGTTTGACCCCTTTCCGATCAAACCTCTAGACGTACTGATTGGATTTCGAGAGCATATAAAATTCTATGCGAGAACTTTGTGATTTCGTTCAGCCGCCGTCTGGATATTATGGTTGTCAGGACGTTGTTATAGTCTTTGTTGTGTTGACCATATCATCAGCATCAGTAACTCGCATTCATATATTGATAAGTCATCCTGGCTCATGATGGCGGCAATAGCTTACTTGGAAACTCGTGATGGAGTGAGTATACATTGTCCAAACTGGAGATCCCTGATTTTGTTTGGCATAGCAGAAACTCTTTTCGAATGGACTTAAAATGTGCTCGATTAGAAAGGTTATAAAAACCGACGACTCCTTACAAGCATTTCGGAACTGTGGCTAACTTTACATATGATTCTGAAATTTTTCACGTGTTTGTTACAACAAGAAAAAAGACGACACGGATAGCCGTTGACAGCCAATTTCCCCTATTACCTATCAATTAAGATTCATCTCATGAAGCGTGGTACAAGGGATAGTAATTGTGCTACTTCCCTTCGTGATCAGCTTGTCAAACAGATCTACAGACGATATTTTTTTTTTTCCCGACACAGAGTCAAACATATCATTTGTCTATTTACTTCGGTGAACATAAATATCTAACATTTTTGTTTACCCGTGCCATATCAAAGATGTGCTCGAGTTTGAAGCTTCTGTTAGCGCTTGTAATCTCCATATTTGCGCCTGCTCAAGTGCGAGCTGCAGCAGCCAACCAAATGGACTTTGCTGCTTGTCCAGTTCGGCATACTCCTGAATATTACTGTTGTGAATACTCAGACTTGACCAAGGTGCTATACACGAAATACAACCGACCGTCGGGTGGAGACTATGAATCATACTACGTTGATGGCTGGAAACAGCAGCGCCAAGTCAATTTTCCGTACACAATGTACCACCCAAGCACGCCAAAGTTTTTTTATGATGATCCAAGTACTATTTGTCGTGTACAGGCTGTAATTGACCCGAAGACGGTCATGTTGATGGAAAAACTACAGTGTGCTGACACCAATGTATCGTTAGAATTGGCTTCTCAAGACAGCTCAGTTTTTTGGACGTACGCTACTAATGTACGCAACAACAACGCGACATTTCCACTTGGTGCGACTTGTTACAGTATCATGCTGAGTGACGGCTCGGTCGACTCGGATCTGTTAGACGAATGTACAACCATGACATTGACTGTTGAGCCTCGATTCACTACGTTTACGGAAGCACCTTTGATTACCATCTACTTTCTTTACATTGCTTTCTTTGTCATTCTCGGTAGTTGGGTAGTCTACAAAAATCTCATGCAGAGCTCTACCAAATCGTTGGATGAGATGAAGAAAAAGTTGCTCAGCATATCTCCAATACCTTTGAGATGTGTTGCGGAGAATACTGTCGACCATCACACAAATGTGCGAACGTCGGACACTCGCTTGCAATCCAACGATGTTGAAGATATTCTCCAAACGGGGTTTACCAAGTCGTATATTGGCAACTTCGTCTTTGGCTGTGCAGTGGTTGCGTCACTTGGGTTAAACGTGCTCTTAATTATAATCATCTGTGATTACTACGGTGACTTTAGCCCTCCACTTTTTGACACGACAGAGGACAATGCTCTTGTGTTTATTATCATCTGGATCGTCACCGCCATGTGGTTTGTAACCATAGTGGCAATGCAAGACCATATCTCCAACTTTTTTCGTCTTCGTGTGCCACTTAACCGATGCGAGTTTGTACACATGATTAAACGAGACGAAACTACGGTATTGCTTGCTGATCGATCTGGCGTGTCGGACTTCGTTGCAAGAGTTGAGAGCTTTTTTGCTTCCAAGGATAAAATAAAGGGATATTGTGAAACAGTGGTGGTTGCTGAGGTTGATGGCCTTCGTTTCATCGAATTTCAACATCTTCGGTACGTGTTCGACGAGACTATGCAGCATTTTGTACCCGGCACAGTCGCACTCGGACATACTTACGATCAGATGCATTTAGAAGCCGGTGGACTTTCCGAAGCTGAAGCAAAATACCGCTACAACACTGTCGGATCCAATTCTGTCGACGTTACAATGCCGTCGCTATTCGTCTCAATAGCACATGAATTTTTTACGCTGTTTTACATTTACCAGATCATGTGCTACTATGTCTGGTACTATTTCACATACTGGAACATGGGTATCGTCATGACTGTTGTCGTTCTCGGTGCTGCTGTAGTTAATATCCACACGCAACGTCAAATTCAGTCATCAATAGTCTCAATGACACGATATTATACAGACATGGCGGTGCTTCGCAATGGAGATTGGCGAGTTTTGTCGTCGCGTGAAATTGTACCTGGTGATCTAGTAAAAGTTTCTGAAAATTGGATTGTACCATGTGATATGGCCATCGTCAAGGGTACAACAGTGTGCGATGAGTCGATGTTGACTGGCGAATCAATGCCTGTGCAGAAGTTTCCGATTCCAGAAAGTAGCTCGGAAGTGTATGATCCTGAAAAGGGCAGCAAGAAGCACACATTGTTTGCTGGTACCCGCGTGTTATCTTCGGGTCGTCATGAAGAGATTATGGCCCTTGTGCAGACTACTGGTGCACAAACGACAAAGGGCCAATTGATCCAGTCGATTTTGTTTCCGATTCCAATGCGTTTCAAGTACAATGAGCATCTAAAGATGTTGATCGTCATTTTGTTCGTCTACGCCGTCATCGCTTGTATTCTTGTTGTCAATTTTTTACTGAGCAACGGAAAGCTTAGCAACCGATATGCTGCTTTCTGCTACGCAATCTTTGTCCTCTCAGGCGTGGTCAGCCCACTACTCCCAGTTGTTATCACAGTTGGTCAGAGGAATGCCTCACAACGACTTGAAAAATTGGGTGTGTTCTCCCTTAATGTCCAACGTATCACACTCTGTGGTAAAGTGCGTATTTTTTGCTTTGATAAGACTGGTACACTCACTAAACAAGGACTAGACTTTCTTGGTGTACAGCCGGTTACGAATTGCCTCTTTACTCCAATTGTCGAAGACATAAAGAGCGCAGTGTCATCAGAGGAATTGTTATACGCACTTACAACGTGCCATTCAGTCGGCTCGCTTCAAGGTCGTCTTGTAGGAAATGAAGTAGAGGTGCGTATGTTTACAGCTACGCGCTGGGAATTGGTCGAGAAAGAAGGTGTTCAACCGTTTGTACGGTCTAACATGGACTCCGCACTTCAACTAGAATATATCAAACGCTATGACTTTGACCATCATCGCATGTCTATGAGTGTTGTAGTACGAAACCGCAAGAATGGCAAGTATTATGTCTTCTGCAAGGGTTCGTACGAACGGATGCAACAGTTAAGTGCTCAAAGCAGCATCCCTGCCGATTACAAGAGCGTAGCCGACCGTCTTGCGAAAGATGGATGTTACGTACTAGGCTTATCGTACCGCGAGCTGCCGAATGATTGGACACGCGAGCAAGTAGTTGAGTTTGCTAATAACCGCGAAGCTGTCGATGAGGATCTGTCACTTTTGGGTCTCATCTTATTTCGCAATGAGCTCAAGGACGATACCAAGAATGCCATTGTAAAGCTCAAGGCAGGTGATATACGTACTGTCATGATCACAGGCGATAATGCCATGTGTGGCTGTTATATTGCACGTAAAAGTGGTATGCTGTCGTCAAGTTCGCGTGTGCTTTTAGGTGAAATGGTGTCAACAATCGAGAAGGAAAAACTTATATGGCGCGATGTTGACTCCGACCAAGAGTATGACCTGCCTGCAGTTAAGATGTTAATTGAGCGGGGTGAGGATGTCGAGCTGGCTGTCACGGGAATGGCATTTGACAATTTGGTATTAAGCGGCGAGATCAGAAAAGTGTTACTTAACATTCGCATCTTCAGTCGCATGACACCAGACGGAAAGGTGGAGTGTGTCAAATTGCATATGGAGACAGGTGCAGTGACCGGTATGTGTGGTGATGGTGGCAACGACTGTGGCGCTTTGCGTTTCGCACATGCAGGTGTAGCTTTGAGTGATGCAGAGGCTTCAGTTGTGTCACCGTTCACGAGTAAATCAAAAACAATCGAGTCAGTTGTTGACTTGTGTCGTGAAGGTCGCTGTAGTGTCGCGACGTCATTTGCGTCTGTCAAATTTCTCATTATATATGGTCTAATTGGCTCCGTGCTTCGATTGTTCATGTACTACCACGCCATCAACTTGTCGCAATGGTGTTGGATTCTCATCGATGGTTTCATGCTTGTTGGGTGTTCATACGTCATCACATTGTCCAAGCCTTTGAACGAACTAAAGAAAACGCGTCCTACTTCGAGTCTGATTGGACCTACGACTCTCTCTTCTATTCTGGGACAAGAGATTATTAACACAATTTTTTTAAGCTGTGGCATCCTCATGCTGACGTCTCAAACTTGGTACTGTCCGTTCTCACCAGATAATGTGGATGTTGCCAAATGGTGGCTCATGTCGGACAATCACTTATCCACAACTCTATTTTTTGCTGTAATCTTTCAACAGCACATTGCGGCTTGGGTCTTCAGTTTTGGTTCGACATATCGCCAACCGATCTGGAAAAATAAACTGCTAATGGCATTTTTCACAGTAGCTGAAGCATTTACTCTTTACTTGCTTCTCGGAGAGCCTAGTATTGTCACTGACCGCTTTCGTATCTCAAGCGGTACTAATGTCGTCGGACTTCCAGATATTCCGATGCCCATGAGTTTTCGCGTCAAGTTACTCGCGCTGCTCTTTGGTAATGTAGTTACCTGCATTTTGTTTGAGTACGTCGTCGTTCTTGGCCCTGTGCGGACTTATTTTCGCAATAAGTATCACAAAGACGTGATTCCAATGAAGAAATAGGTTTATGTTATCGTGTCTGAGTATCGATCATCAAAAGTTTTGCAACGACACTTTCCCGACCACAAAATTAATTTTTCAAAGCAATTAGAGTAAACAAGAAATAACGGATCTGCAACTTTGACGAAAAAGTAAATAACGCTGGTATGGTCAGAGCTGCATACAATAACAACTGTGATCGAAGATACATAATCCTCGAGAACATTAGTGCTGAAAATCCTTTATTCGTAAAAGTATCATAATCTAGTATGCTTCCCATCCCAAAAATCAGATCTCTTTAGCAAATTCGACACTGACAAACAGAAGAATTCCAGTGTGTTCTACATCATGGTGAAGGAGGCAAGTACTGTAACTCTCCCCTTACACATCAAGTAGAGTTTTATGAAATTTACATTACACTTGGTGTCGTTGTCTATTTTAATTTTACGAATCTTCGAAACGAAGGGGGTAGATTTGTATTTTGACTTCTTGAGATAGTGATTTAAAGTGATCGCTTCACGGCGAGCACTGCAACTCAAGTTCTGCACCACTCTCTGCACTTTGCCGTGCCTACTCTATTGAGCGTACTTGTATTTAGAGTCCGCCTCCGTGTTGAATGGCTCAACGAGCCCCCACCAAAGCGCAGTCTTCGCGATCGACGCGCTTAAAGCTCGGTGAGGATGCCGAGGTGTTGTCCCATGAGAGCAGTCCAAGTGACTCACCGAGTCTCGACGAAACACCTTCACCGTCACCCGGCGATACACGGCCTAGCCGTTCCCCAAGGAGGAGGTGCTCACTGCGCTCAGCCTCTGGTTCCCTATTCCATCGGCGAGAAGCGTTTTCCACCTTGGAACCCACAGCGATGTCCAGCTCGAATCCATAAATTAAATCTGACTCGAAGAACCCGCTTGCTTTACTTCAAGCACGACAGTCACGCCAATTTTTGCCCACAGCACATCGCGATTACGGCCTTTAGCCGCTCGCGCGCTAGTTTGATCCTTAGAGGTCAATGTTTGAGATTTACAGGTCGCAACTTAACAAAGCAGTAGAAGTCAAGAAAATTTCTCTCCTCTATAAGGGATGGTGCAAAGCGAATAAGCACGGTGCGAACGTCGAGATGACAACTTATTATCTCAAGTTTCTACTGATCACAACTCAGCTCGTCTCCATGAGACAGCTGTAACAGGTATCGACCAAGGATCTTCTACCCCACAAGGTCGGTCGTCTTTCATTATTTGGAAGCTAAGATGGGCGGTTTTGCCACTTTTCAAGGATGATAGAGGCCGAGGGTACGCCAGGTCGTGAGCCGCCACGGCACAAGGGCAGTTCTGCAGAAATGTAACCTCAGACGCCACTGAGAGTAAGGCTTCCACTCCACCAGGCACTGGTAACAGCCCTGACGTACTTATCGACCTCCCAAAGCTCCAAGTAAAGTGGGCAGCCCCCTTGCTACTAAGAAAATACGACGAAGGGTGACCCTGTCCCGGACCTGCTCTCGTGAGCTCTATCGGTTATGGCGGCACGTTAACACTTTCCAAGATTCACAGCTTGCGTCAAAAGCTGAGATGAGTCAGATCTTGGATCTGCCGTTTTAGCATCACTGTCGAGTTGTCTGACTGAGGGCACTCTCAACAGCTCAGAACCGCGTCATATTTCTGGAGTAGATGGTAGCTTATCTAAAGTGGACGATGTAGGCGCAGAGCTCATAAGTACGACTGGCTCATATGAGCAGGCATTACGGCATGGATTAAGTAAACTCACATCGAACACTACATATGTGATAAAAAGCTAATCTATTGATTTTTTCTCGCTGTGACCGTGAACGGTCCGATGTAGCGCAGTCCTAACTTGGTCTTGTAGACCACAGACGCTGTTCAAGTAGGTAAATTAATTGCATGTAATAAAAACTTTTGTCTAAATATGTATTTGCGTGTGTTTTGATATCAGTATGTTGCTTTCGCTTGTGTTCGCTCTCATCCATCGTGCGCAGGCGCGCGACGCTTAACTTCATCATAAATGTAGCCACAAATTTTGCTGCAAAGTGTAGCCAGGATATAAGCAAGTCGACTTTGGTCGACAGCTCTCCCCCCACGAGGTCTGAGCTTTTTATCGCGGATGTGTCAAAGGCGCCCATGGGTTCATTAATCATATGTATATTGGAATAAAACCTGTAGAGGCACATACTGTGTTTTTCATCGCAAACTTAATAATTGGAGCGTCATGCTTCATCAGCTTGGTATCTACGAGATAGTGGGTGGAATGAAATCCTTCACAACTTGATTCGCGCGTTCTGTCTGACCATCTGTTTGTATATGGTCAGAAATGAATGCGTCTAATCTGGTGCCGGGCACCATAGACAATGAGCGCCAAGATTTTGCTGTAAAATGCGGAATTCTATCCGTTACAATGGTGACCGACGAACCAAATTGGCAAAAACTTTGAAAAAAATAGCTTGGCTATATCCATAGACTACTGTATCGTTGATTGAAGTGAGGTGAGCCATATTGCTCGGACGGTCCACAAAGACCGCGGTGCCGGTATGCGATGTCTACTGAAAGACGAATACAAAGTCTGTGCTTAAAGTCTTCTACCAGTGCCTCTTTGTCGGCCAAAATCGTCGATGCATGCAGCGAAATATACGATATTGATATATTTCACTCGTGTGGACATGCGCGCTTTCACTTGTTGGGTTGCTACCAATATACAGCGCTCACCTAACAGTATGTCTTTCTTCTTTCGAAATGGTCACTCAGAGGAATCGTACAGTATTATAATCATGACTCTTCTCACGGAACATCACTACGAGCTGATGTCATGAAGATGATCGGTGTAAAGAGCAAGCCTCGCCATAAGACATGCAATCCGCGTTAGGAAAATTATCATTTTTCCGACGCAACACTTGTTGCGTCTTACCCGTGCGCTATACACATCGTGTTATCAATCAAAACGTCACCATCATGACAGTTGAATAATCGAGGCGGCACGAAAGATTATCCACGACCACATTAAGTCGACGCGCCATATTTTTATCATAAAAGTATGCTATGCGAAATGGACAATCATATTGCCATTTTCTATGAGAGATGACCGTACAGAGCACAAATGGCTTAGACCCAAGCAGCTGCACCTCGAACACGAAAGTAATATTCATTGCGAATAGCTTCTGGTCATGAGCAAGATAATTTTATCTACCAACTACGGCAAACAAATCCTTTTTGATCAAGTTAATATCGTATCGACCAGAATTAAATCTGAATACTGGTACCTGATCAAGCTGCTGCTTCAGTTTCCCATAGTCAGACCTTTGCTTAACAAAACCAAGACTGATATGGAAGTACTAGAAGTTATCATATTCCCCTCCCAAAAATAGCTCTCCACATCAGACATCTTGTACTTTTTTTATCAGAATTAGCGCCTGGGATTTCCATACCTGTCAGAACATGTACATTGATGAATTTTTGCAGAAGGCAACTTATACTTATCGACACTTTACTGTTGATTTTTCACCGATACATCACCAATGTATTTGAACATATCCATAAGCAAAATCTTTGGGTCGTCATTTACAAAACAACGCACCCCCTCGGTTAAATTATCAGCTACTGAAACCGACACAGGAACGTGTTCGTATGTAAAGACAGTATTATCCCCGTGTTGAGTCGCGGTAGGGTTAAGAATAGCCTCAGAGTCATAAACGATAAAGTGATCGATGTAATGGTCAGCATTTCTGATGGTATACTTCGTAAGCAGCGATCGTATCGTGTTCTGAGCCAGTTTGTATGTAGTTGGCTCAGTGGGGAAGCTCTCAATATTCACAAGCTCGCACTGTTTTTTTGAGATTTTTAAGTCTTTCACCACTTACGAAAATCATTTCGCACGTGGAGCACTGATACTTAGACTGCAGCATATTGAAGTTCTTGGTGTAGAGAGCGTGATTCTCGTGTGATAGAATATTTATGGCTTCATACCCCTTGTCCGACCTACGAATGCTTTCAGCATTTCCGGTAGCTACATCCATGCCGTATACGTTAAAACCGAGTTGGAAGCAGTCCTCAATCTCATCGAGCTGTAGTAGGTTGATAGGCTTGAAGCTTCGGGATAGACTCAACGTATACTTAGTCCCCTTAAAATAGCAGTAGCGCTTGAATACATCATTCACCTCAGCCTAAATTCTGCGCGGATATTTCTTGGATCTCTGGAACGTGAGCCAGGCGATGCAGTGGAAGACGCACTCGTTGTTAGTCTTGAGGAAGTTGATTACATGCTTATTTTTGTGAATAACCTTAGGATAACAGCTTTGATATCTCCAAGAGTATGGTCGCGATGGTAGACGAAAATCTTGAATGCAGTGATCGCCTTTAGCTTATATCCAGATCTTCAAATTAAAAAAAACTGACTTTATTCATTTTTATCTGCGGCAAAGCGCCTAATTTTAAATGCATAGAATTTTCTAAATATGTGTAAAGTATAAATACATGTATAACTACTGACTATCCAGCCCCGTACCGTATTCTTGTTTGGGTGTGGTCACACCAAGCCCATCTAGTGTGACACACACCCCTGTTACCAGGGTATGTGTAACCTCGTTACAGGTACGAACTTGTGAGCAAGACCGATCCTGATTATACTCGCTACTTCTACCGAATCTCGCTAAGACTTATGTGTTCGACAAACCTGTCGCTATCAACAGCAAGGCTAATATTCGAAAGAAGGTGATTTCGAAAAACTCGGTCTATGGGGTTGGATGACAAGCTGAACCACCCCGCGGAAGAGTTAATTAGCCTTGGGTTGAGGTTGTAATTACTCTTGGAGTAAGTGCATTACGATCCGATAAACTTGTACTTGTTCTAAGTGAAGAACGAAAGGTCGGTGATCTAACTTACGCTTCCTCTAAGCGCAAAGCTACGGTAGCCGTGCTGCAGTCTTTAAAGGCAAAATTTAGCTTAAAAGCTCTTGCCTGGGTCGAAAGAACGTTCTTGAGCTTATCGTAAAAAAGAAAGCAGTCGCCTCGTTGTCCTCATATAGGTGTGATTCTATGTGATTACCATTGCTAAAAATGTACTTAAGATCAGCCTTGTAGTCAGGCGACAAGTGTTTTGTTAGGCTTAGTCGGCGATCACTCTGTACGAAGAGCGAATGTAGAGCCTTTGACGTCTCGTTAGCGGCAGCAACGACGGTAAATTGAGCCAATCACCAACTTGGTCAACAGTGGAGAATTGCGAGAAGAATGTATCACTGCAGTGGTCGAACACACCGTCTTGGAAGACTGTTAGAACCGAGGACCCTTGCTTCGGCACCACTACCAACACCGCCAACCTGTCAGTGGTAGGGGCCACAATTGATGACATTAAATTCTGTTTTGGCTTCGACTTTTGTCACAAAATAAATTCTTGCAATCAATCATAGTATAGGTCTCGTTTGAACTTTCTGTAAAACAACAAAATATAACAAAATCCAGCAGTGAAATACTCGATTATCATACAAGTCCCAGACCACCTTTCAATACCAATAATGTACCATCGATCGCCTTAAAGATCATGAATGGAATTTGATGGAGGGAGACAAGGAAATTTCGCGGAGTTTAAGAAGAAATCTGCGAAAGCAAGTTACTCATGTATCAATCATCAGTAATGTCGGATGCAGATTTAAATTTGCTATACTGAAAATTTCAGGAAAGACGAATCGAAAGTACTTCAACATCGTGAAAGATGAACGAGGAGGAGTTGCACAACGCGGTATTTCGATTCAAGCATAAGGCACCAAGCGATTGCCAGGATGCGGTGGCATGTCAAGCACTTGTAAAGGAGTTTGTTACGTTTGTCTCGACCTTAAAAGCAGTTGAGATACCAGGGCATATATGCAGTCGTTTCGAGCCTCTTGCAGACGACCGAATGGTTCCGGTTACTGACTTCGCCGTCCATGAGGTTGATGTATTGCAAGAAGTATCCCAACGTCTTACCGATTCAAGTCAGAAACACAAGAGAGGTGATGTGTGGTATGATCCATGGCTTCCTCAGTATGGTTGCGTAATACAAAGGACTCAAAAGACTGCTATGGAGATCACGATAGAAGTCGTATACATTGATGAGTGGAAGCATCAGCTACACTTCCTACCAACTGGAAAGTGTGTGCATAGTGCTGTGCCTTCAAATCAATGTCTGCATGCTCCTCAGTGTTGCGTCGATTTGGATACAGAGTTGGAAGCGAAATTCTCGACTTTGTTTGCATCGAAATTGCTTGAAGCTCAAAAAATTAGGGGGTCCGAAAGAAGTGCTGCAAAAAATGAGTTGGGACATCAAAAAACGCCACAATTTATAGCTGCAATTGTGAAGCACTGTGTTGTCTCGTTGATAGGACGGACTTCAGACGTTGATAACATCAGTATGGTCGTCCAAGGAGGCACGACGGATGTAGGGCGACATACTGGTGGACGCGCAAGAGATACATGCTGGGCGATTGTTCAAGAAGCAATAGCTCGCAATCTTTGCTGCGGCGAAGGTTTATTCCGGAAAAGTATGGTTGTATTCAAATTGAAGTTGCTTCAAAAAGCCGTGCACAAAACAAAGGGTGGTGTTGACAGTGACAGCATTAATTTAGTTCAGGGATGTGCCCGTGTGGATGACATTTTCTTCATGCTTCAAACTATTATTCAAGATACAGTTGAGTTAGTAGAATCGAAGTATGAAGTTTCCGCGCTCCACAATGTGCGGCTTTGCGCTTGGACATTAATGCAATTGCCGACATACTAAATTACAAAACGGCAGTGCGATATCGCTTGCCCGATGCCAGAAAGTTAGAGCAACTAAATAAGCTCACAAGCAGTTTGAGTTTGATGAATCCTAAGCAAACGAATGACTCGGATAGTTGTGAGAGCTCCAAAAAGCGTCATCAACGAGCGTGGGCTAATTTGGAGGGATGCTACTATATAAATGGGGCTTCGTGCAGCTTAGATGAGTTGCTGCAGTGGAAAAGTACGTTATCATGCCCTGAAACTTATCAGTGCAATCTGATATTGCGGACTTTTGAAACCTTTATTTTTAAGCGTTCTCTGCAATTAATTGACGATAGCCCTATTGATAATGTCTTGCTTGATTTCGAGAGCATGCATTCTTTCGTGACGCAATACCAGAGCTGTGCGAGAAGACAGCGTCAGCTTCAGAGTATGCCATCGATTTTAGACAAAGAACAATGCAGTTGCGAGGTGCTGATCGTATGGACTGCGTTTTGTCTCGTTCACCAGCATTGTGTCATTAAGGAAATCAAGATAAAGAAATACAAGATCGCGCTGGATTGGAGAGACCTCAAGGTGGCTATTGTACGCGACCAAACCGCCATTTCGGCACTTCAGTGTGTAGCCAAGTATATTCGAAGTTGGAACAAGACGACCTATGGAAAGCCTTTATTTCACCTGACAGATCAAGATCCGACATTCGAATTCGGAAAGTTATTTGGCTTAAAATGCACCAGCATGCTCAATTTATACGATCGTGTATGTGAAACGTGGGATTCGCACGTGAGAAAGCAATGGCGAAATATTGAACAAAAAAAGCAAAAGGCCATTGAATTGCGAGCAAAGATAGACAGACAAAAAGCAAATGCGGACAGCAAGCGGCTCCTTCTCGCAGATGAAATCAAGAATTTAAATTTGATGTATCATGGGGAGTACTTTTCGTGCAGATATCGTTACAGCACAACTAGAACTAGACTCGAGAATGAAATCGCACAGGTTGAATCTGCAATCAAAAATACTGAACATGATCTCCGCAAAACACTAGCTATGCCCTCTTACTTAGTTCGACCACTTCCTCCATCACAAGCGGATGCAATCCAGATCATATTTATGCTGACGATGCCGCGATACATCGAAATATTAGGTAGTTTGTGTATGACAGCTCAGCGAAGTCTTGCCCCGACTACATCGTTACCGGAAATGTTAGTGTTACCAAAAGTGAGCCCCACTTCATGGTACGAATATTACACCATGTACGCGCCGACTCCAGTGATACCCAACACTAGCACAGTGTTTACAGCAAGTCCATCACCATTCTCATGTCCATGTTCGTGGGGTCCCACATCTGTTGATCAATTGTCCAGCCTCTCTCAGTATTGTTCTGAATGTATCTGGGATCCTTCCATTAATTGTACAGCCCTGACTTGGAAAGACTTTGATGGTACGCGGATGAATCCATTTGCTGCTACTGAGACGAGCGTGATTGACAGTTTTACCATGAAGTTGCCAGCTGAGTACAATCAGTTTCAATGGATGAATGAGTGGCCGATTGACGACGGTACACGTGGAAATATGGTTTACGCTAACTTCCACCTTCAACCTGAAAACTTTGAAAAAACTGCATTTATTGCTTTGGGTTCATTGCGAGCCTTTCCGAATCAACAGTTTCGAAAATTGCAATGGGCATTGCTTGATGACGTTTTACCATGGTCAAACGTATGTGTGAAGACCATCGTACGGCAGTCTTTGTACCAAGTGGGATTTTTAACTGATGACGCGACTCCAGAAATCCTTTGGAAGACAGACATGTATCATAACGAAAAAGGGTTAGACACATTTTGCGCGACACTCGAAATTGTAGCTCAAAAACTAGAACAGACTCCTCGCAATTATGAAAGTGTCTTGTTACTTAGTGAAATGGCGGGATTCGCGTTGCAATACACAAAGAATGCGCGACGACTTGTCTATCTTTTTGGTGGAATGGCACGGCGATGGGCAGAAAACGCCCGCTTAGAGTACAAAAAGGAGCTTTCTCCTCGTCGAATTGGTGAGATTCGACAAAAAGAATGCATCCTGTTAAGTCTTGCACTTTTGTCATACACGCTGGGATCCTGGGATGATAAAGTTGCTCAAGAAGTATGTGAGCTCATTGTGTTGTTCTGAACGTCGTTTCTTTGCGCAAGTATTAGTTTGAGCTCATCTAACGAGATGATACTAAGAGAACGCGAAATCCATGAGCTTATGTGTCGTCGCATTGCGGAATTGATTGCTTACATTAATAAAAGAGGCATGGATATGGTGCTGACTGGATTAGTGCGTTTGGTAAGTGCAACATCTCCAAAAAGAGTTTGAAATGGAAGCAATTTAGTGAAGTATCGGCAGTCGGCAAGCAGTTTGGAAGCTGCTTTGAAGCTATCGACCGGGCAAAAAATGTTCATTATTCCGTGAATGTATTTACTGGTGTTGTTTTAATCGATGGTTATGCTCCTGGTGGTCTTCCAGTAGAAATTCGACGGCACGAACGATTTCAAGTTTTATTTGGACCCAGTAACTTTGAAGTTTATTATACAAACGGCGTACATCGAACACAGCGCGATTATTATGATCGCTTTTACGACTTTAGCTTGAAGGGAGACGGTGACTTATTCGTTCAAGAATTGTTGGTAGACTCTTCTGGAATAATTACTTGTACACTTCAGCTCTGCTCAAATATATGGATAAAGGCTATGAGTGACGTTTTACCAATTAGACTACAAGAATTGTATTCGCATTGGTACTGGGTTGAAGAAAATTGTGTACTCTTTCGACCAAAAGAAGCGAAATGCCGAGAGACTTTTTATATCGCAACTTATGACGAACAGACAAGATTTCACTGCTACCAAGTTCCGTTTTGTGATACAAAGCATCCGTACAAACAACTTCTGGGTCTTTGCATTGAGTACGATCAATTTGTTGAAAAAGACAAGGTGATCGCTGACGTTTTCAACAATCTAACGAAATTTGAATCATTGTCTTATCTTCATCCATTGAGGTCTTCCACCGGGGTGCTAAACATCGAGCTTCCTCGCGCTAAATTGGGCTTTTTCCTGAATAAAAAAATGCAATTTGAATCGGTGGAGCATAATGGGTACGTGCTTGCAACGACGCAGCAACTATACGACTTTCTGCCACGATTTAATCAGTATCTGCTACTCGAGTTGCAGGATGAATCGGATACAGCTCGTCCTGAACTTCGAATGCTTGTTCCTGTGGGTTCAGTTAAGGAATCTGATGTCGGCACGGTTGATATACTTTTACCTACTGAAGCGGGGAGTCATGTGGAAGTTCATTACTACGACGTTCATCGACGTTTAAAGACTTTTCAAACCGAAACGATTGGCGCGAGATTGCAAATGGCTGCTGTTTGAGCTAGAGCGGGTTTAAGTGTACCTAGCAGACGTTTGCAAATGACAGGAGAAGAGGCGGCACTACAAATGCTTTTGTCATGTCGATCAAGTCGCCCCTATTCGGATTACGAAAGAATGACTTTGCTGACAATATACGAGCTAAGTTACCGCGAGCCAGCTGTCAAAATTTTGGCTGTGATGCTGCTTCGAGAGGCGTATTGCCTTGCCTTCCTCTTCGGTCAGACAGCGAAGCTTAACTGTGCTATGGCAAGCATCGATGAGAGGACGGAGTATGCTGACATGTGTCTGCAGCTCGTCAAGCGTAATCCGTTACGCTCACAATTTCGAAGCAGAGAAGAGAAATTTGTCGTGGGAAACATCAAACATTCATGTGTACCTGTACCAGTGACGGAAGTTATATCATGTGATCCAGTTCCAGTAGCGAAAAATTACGTGCAGTCAATTGAGTGCAAACTGAAGCAGTTCGTTTGCATTGAGGGTAAGACCACAAACAAGATTCCACCACTGCCGCTAAACACAGGGACTGCGAATGCTATGAGCAAAGAAATGCTGGATGATCTCCAAGTCAGCTGGAAGACATATAACTCGCGACGTAAATTTAAGCTTAAGGCTACCCCCAAAGCATTGCGTTTAGCCTTTACCAAGCTACTAGGAGGGGTGTCTTCAAAACGGGTCATGATGGAAGAGTACCTGAATGATTCTTATATCAAGTCATTGAGCAACAGAAGGGACCAGCTTCTGCTTCTTGGTAATTTCTTGCCAATACTCACTGTGATGGATCTCGTTCAGTGTTCTTTTGACGAAGAAACGCTGCGTGCGTTGGCGCCAAAGCTAAGTGAGAGGGCACGACAAAAATTTAGAGCAGGGATTCATCGATACATGGAGCTGTGTGTACTAGAAGATAAGGTGGAGCGTCTTATTTGGAAAGCAAAGCGCAGTAGCGAGTTGTCGGATGCTCAAATGGTTGAAGAACTATTAAATCACCGGCAATGGCACTCGAAAACATTTCCGTATTGGTTGGCATTCGAAGTAGAAGGAAGACTTCAGATACGACACGAACAGTATGTGATTGCCCAGCATCTTATCAACAGACCGGGAACTGTCTGTCAGCTGAATATGGGCCGGGGTAAGACTCGAGTGATACTACCAATGTTATTTCTGTATTACACGCGGAATCTATGTTCCAAAGTTGTTCGTGCTCACTTTTTGAGTCCTCTATTAAGCGAAGCGCGGCAGTTTATGCATCGCTACTTGTCGGCATCAAGTGTTCGCTTGAGTATCTTTGAGCAGCCGTTCCACCGACAAATTGACTTGGATGCGCGCCGACTTGAGATTATTCGTGACTGTTTGCACAAATTGAAACTTAGTGGTGGTATCCAAATTGTCGCTCCTGAGCATCGGATGTCACTGGAGCTTAAGCGTTTGGAGCTTGGAAGTGATGATTGCATTGTTGACACATTGGACGAAATTCTTGACAATGATCAGTTTCTAAATGTCTTAGATGAGTGTGATGCTCTTTTGCACCACAAGTATCACTTAGTGTATGCTGTTGGAACATCCATACCGTTATGTAGTGGCATAGAACGGTGGAAAGCTGCGGAAGCGTTATTACACGTTGTGTCAGACCAATCCCTCGAATCTCGCGTTGCACGGGTGCTGCGTACTGCGCATGTTTCTTCATTTGCACCGGATTATTCGACACGTTTAGGAGCTTATAATGGCACCCGACTTACGACGGTTGTGGAAAGCACAGCAGCACAGCGAGAAGAGCTCAAAAAAGCTTTAGTTTTAGAACTTATTGATCATGCTCCTTTCGAATTGATGTGGCTTAGTTTTTTTGGATCGACCAGTGCACGGAATTCACTTATTCGGGCGATAGTCCAGTCTACTGTTAGTTTGAAGGAGGCGCTTGATATCCATTTTGATAATCTCGCTCCCCATTTTGCGGAATTGCTTGCATTGCGTGGTTTGGTGGCATATGGGGTTTTGGAACATTGTCTGGAGAAACGCTATCGTGTAAATTTTGGCCTTCCAAATCCAGGCACGCGATCGCGAAAAATTGCTATACCTTATCGTGCCGCGGATGTGCCTTCGGATAGATCCGAGTTTAGTCATCCCGACGTTTGCATTGTACTGACATTGCTAGGATATTATCACCGAGGATTGACGAGTGAGGAAGTTCGGAGCACTTTTCAGATGCTGCTACGCTTGGATATCTCGGAGCAGCAGTATTTTTATAATCGGTGGTTCCAATCTGTTGAGTCAGGATTAAGTCAAAGCGATCAGAAGGCCTTGGGCGACGTCTGCCACATTAGTCTTGCTGACACTCAACAATTTCAAACACTGCTCAAAACTTACAAGTTTTGTATGGAAGCAATCAATTTTTTTCTAAATACATGTGTATTTCCAAAGGATACGCATCAGTATCCACAACGAATGTCTCGTACAGCGTGGAACTTAGTACCAGAGAATTTTAATGTTGGATTTTCGGGGACAAACGATAATCAACGACTTCTTCCCCTATCAGTGACCCAGCGCGAGCCAAATGAGCCTTCGCTGCTTGGCACAAATGGAGAAATGATTGACAAGATTTTGCGAGTTACTCATAGTTACGACGTCATCCGCTCCGATCCAAATAGCAAATCAATCCCTTGGCAGAGTGTACTACTTTTTGCCATAAACAAAAAAGCACAAGCTCTGATTGACACTGGAGCTTTACTTGCTGGTGTATTAAATCACGACGCGGCAAAATTTTTACTTGAGCGGCCCGAGTTCGATTTTGGTGGTGTAACATACTATGATAGTCGCGAAGAAAATGCTTGCTGGATGATTGCCGAAAAAGCTCGACGAATCGAGGTGCCTCTTAAGAAGGCATCCATGCTAGAGCGGGAAACATTCGTTATTTTTGATGAGGCACGCTCACGAGGTTCGGATCTTAAGCTGCTTCCGGGCGCTTCAGCTGTGCTTACACTGGGACCCAAACTCACAAAGGATAAACTCATGCAAGGAGCAGGACGCATGCGACAACTCGGATGTAACCAGAGTTTGTGGCTTGCAAGCTTTGACGAGGTGGCGCAGAGCATCCGTCAAATCAGTGGCCATAATCCTTCTTGTCTTTCTGCAATTGACGTTTTGAACTGGGTCATGGATAACACAAAAGAAGAAGCTGTTCGAGGCTTGCTTGAGTGGGGAAGTAACGGACTTCACTATCAAAAAACTCAACTAAATCGAGATTACGAAATAGTCAACGAAAATTGGGAGCTCAAGACGTTGTACCAAGACAAAGTTCATGTTGACAGCATTGCACAAGTGATCCAATCAAAAGCTTCATTGAACTTTCAAGATTTGCCTGATATCGTCAGTCAAATCTGTAAACGTGGTTTCGTATACGGATTGGATGATGAAATCTGCATAACCTGTCACACTGATGAATGTGAGCGCGAATTGCAGCTCGAAGAAGAGGTGCAGCAGGAGCGACAGACATGGTGACATTTTGCTGGTATCGGAGTGTGAAGCTGACCATATCTTGAAGCTGCTTTGGTCAAATCGAGCAACCGCATGCAACTTTTGCTTTTTGAATCTTGCATTTGCTTGTGAAAGTCTCGATCGGGTCGGTGTCTCAACCATTTTTCGAGACGCCCACTTAACACTCGGTTCGGGTCTTGATCAGAAGTTACCGCTAATATCTGTGATTGCTTGCCATATTTACAATGGTGAGACGTCGGTGGCGAAACATCAGGAAGATCATGTGAAACACGTATATCGTAAATTACTGGGTCCCTTGGTCATGAGAGAATCCACATTGTGCAACTATGTCAAATCGCGTGGTAACTTTCACAAGTGGACAAGATCGCTTTTGCACCAGCTATGCTGCCGCTTGGACCTAGAACTAGGTCTAATATCATCTGGTCAAGCTAAATAAAATCAATTTTCTCAGGAAGAACACCAATGAAGCGCATCAAGTGGAATTGACTAAAGTCTGTTTTGCTGTTTTGCCGTCTAGTAGATCAACCCGTTCATATCCAGAACAATGTAATCAATAATAATAATCGATTTGCGTCTCGCTCTAACAATTCGAAATCGGGATTCATAAACAGCGCTCCATCTAATGATAATACAGAGGAACTTAATTGTAACAGTAAGCTTGGGTCAAGCACAATTATCCGAGACCTTTTAATTGACCAAATGTTGCTTCAGAATCTCCAGATACACCGGTAGTCCAAGCTGTAAACGATGAGTACCGGGCAATGTGTGTGGAGTACTGTTGAGATGACAGGATGATGTTGCAACTAAATGCAGATTTTACATATGGAAGATTTACAATACATGTACAGAAATCGAATTCAGATCAAACTATAGGTGGATCCCTCATATAGAAAGTAATATCATATTCGCCTGGTATTGATTCCACTTTCTCCATTAGGAATTTACTAAGGTATGTCGCACGGTGTTTTGGGCTCACTGCAGGATCCCCATGGCCCGAGCTCACCCTTTCCATGGTTGACCTTTGCATTGATAAGGCAGAGTGTTTGGATTGATTATCTTAAGCTAGGATGGAGGCATAGAGACATCATAATTTTTTCACTCGGTCTTTTGCCAACAAATCAACAGGTTAGCAGCTGCAACACCCCAAGCCTTCCTTCACCATAAATTTCGTGCCCACGGCGAACAAGCGCACCAAAACCCACCTGCCACTAGTCATCGAATATGAGAGTGACTCTGGCAAGGAGTAGGGCACCTGGACAACGTCATTACCGTCATGTATGAGAACAATATTACGGAGACTAATGAACGACGCCAAGATACGATCGACCACGAGCGCTATAAGGACATGTGGAGCGCTTCGTGATTTTTACAATCGCAAGACACTATACAATTGCGTGACGATGACGTGTCGACTTCGCAACTTCAAGGTGGAAAATGGTATAGGACTTGAGGGCTTTTGGGCTCTTTTGACAAGCTGGATATGGAATATAGACAACGAAAGAGCTGCAGCGGGGCTGCCGTAGATCTTTTGCCTAGAGGAAGCTACGCTAAGGTCGGTGATATTCGCTCTATACTTACGAGTGTAGCGGATCGCTATTCACTTACTCCAAGAGTAATTACAACCTTGGCCCAAAGCTAATTGACCCTTCCGTTTAAACCGTAAACTCTATTTCTCGGTCTTATTTGCGGCAAAGTCACCTATATCTTAATCTATAGCTTTACCTATTTATATAGTAAAACTTAATTAAATGTATAGCTACTGGCTGCACCAGCGACGTACTGACTTGTAGCCACACCATTGTGTGGTCACACCATCTTGCGTGACCCACACCCTTCATACCAGGGCACGTGATACCCAATTACACGAGCCGTCTGACAAGTTTGTTGTATTCCTCAGCAGTCAAACGTCGGAATATGATTTGCTCGTCGATTGTAGAAAATCGATTAACGTCGAGAAGAAGCTGCTAAAGACATCGAAGGAGCTGCACAAAGAGAAGACTACGAAGAAAGCGTTTTACATGAAAGGTAACGCTAGAAATATAAAGATGGACGAGGCAACGTTTGGAAAGGTGGCGTTCCACGCGCTCATGGTGGGTCCAAGGGCAAACATTTTTACCGCGGGTTGGTCACATGAAGCGAAGCTGGCCGGCCTGAAAACTATTCAGCAGTGATAATGCAGCATTTGCAGAGGGCAAATGACGATCAGCACAATGGATAATCGCCAGTGGCACCACATCTTCCGTGGCCCCGAACAGGAAAAACTTTTTCGAATAAAGCAACGATTACAGTCGGCAAAACTTACTCGTGTCAGAAGTCAAAATGATTGAATTGGCCAGTTCGGGCGGAAAAAGGGGACTCGCAAATTGGAGCTTCATATTTTTAGTACTCAACACATGATTGTTGTCTAATAGCCATCTCAAACAGAGGGCTAGCGATTCATCGGGTATAACCAAGGGAAAAGAGTGCAAGCTTGACTATGAGCAAGAAGAAGCATGGAATGTGGAGTATTTCAGGTGACACTCAGTGTGAGTTTTGGTATGCTCGCATGAGACAATGTTTTACACACGATGCCGCGCTCTACCATAGGCATTCCGATATTTGATAAAATACAGAGTCACTGAGTGTGAGGTGCGATCAAAAGTATGCAGACAGCTCAGCATTTTCCTCGCGTTCGATGGCAAAAATGACACGTGTGCTGGAGCGTGTGCATACTGATATCAGGGGGCAATGCAGACTTCCTCGAAAAGTTTTAAAAAATGTCGCAGATTGCATGGCCATGAGTAAATTGCAAATTTTAGATATTGTCGACGCTGCATGAAAATCAATGGCGAGTTCGCCCAAAATGATTGCGATCCTACAACAGGACATTTCTCGTGAATAAGATTATAGGAGACATATGTCGCCGGGGCGAGCCTTCTGCTTCAGATAGCCCTCAGCCTGCGGAGAGATGATCAACAGTATACTGATCTACAACAATGTTTAAACTGGCACGCGTAAGCGATAAAGTAGCGGTTCATTTGATTGATGGAGGGACGTATACATCACGACATCACGCCGGTAGATTTTGCATTGAAGGTGAAGCCTCTTTCAAATTAGTTACGGTTTCAGTTCGCAGATTTATGCTAACGATGCACAGAAAACAAAGCTTGTATTCAAGAGCATTAAGCGTATTGAATTCGCTCATGGGGAAACTGATAAGGATCATCGAGTCTTTGACTTGGATAATAGCAAATTTTACGTCGCTCGCTCTGCAAGGCTTAATGAACGTGATGAGTGCGGCATTTACGACACGCAAACGTCACAGCCAGAAGAGACAATCGACAATCGAATCTATCAAGATGGGCGATGTTGGCAGTATTCAGACCAGTTCTGCACGAACCTATGAAACTGTCGAAGATCTAGTTGCAGACGTCAAAATGGACGATGTTGAGCGTCAGCACACACACAGTCAATGATACCTCGTGACCGCTCTGTTGAAAGACGATTGGAGCTCACAAAACAATGTTCAGCTCTCCATACGCTAAAAGTAAGAAGTTTGTTGCCCCGGATTAAAATAGAGCGACCAAGACGAAGACTTGGGCCGATGCTGACGCTTTGATGCGACTTAAAGGACGAAGCGTCAGCAGTAACAATGTGTGTTCCACCGATACCGAAGCGGGTTAAGATTGGCTAAGAAGAAATTGTTGATGATGCTGTTCTTGTGTCCGCGGTGAGATTGAAGACGATGCGAACTTGCCGTCTGCTTATGATCAAGCAATGGCAAACGACGATGCAGTAAAGTGGCGTGAAGCCAATTTTGCTTTAATGACCATTTGAGCCACAACAAATATAAATGCCATTTGAGCTTTTAGCTGATCTACGATTTGTCTTTGGCGTACTTTCCTTCATTGTTAGAAACTTACTAAAGTAAGACTTTACGCATGGCTATGCTATTGCTCAAACGGCCGAGGACCGCATCCTTACTATATATATTACACCGCAAAAGACGCAAGTAGCAAGGCTTTACTAGACTGTGACATAGCCGTCATATCTTACTTCTTTAAACTTTGTAAAGTTTGTATCGAAAGGGGTGATCAATCAAAACCGAGGAGGCAATCACTCGATATGGGATGTCCTTGCAACACGACAAAATAATTCGCCCGTCTCATCAACAAATTTCACATCAGCTTTGCTGTTTAAGCACCGAATATTGTAAAGCCTGCGGTAAATTAAATAGGGATTGAAATTGCTGCCTGATCTAATCGTTTCGCGTTTGCAAAGTTCCGTAAGCTACCAAATTCACCGACGAGCGATTCCCCTACGAATATTCAGCAAAGGGGTTCAGCTTATCGATATTCATCCAGAACTTCCGCACATGCTGGGCAACAAGTCATCGCGGACGGAAACACATGATTAGAAGACCCAAATTATAGTCTGCACGAATATGCGAGTTCACTCAGATTACGTTACATAGTACCTAGGCTCTGTGATACTCTTCAACCGACCCTGGGCTCAAGTTTGTTTTCGCTTGACCTGGGACCGGGAAATACCTGGTTGGATACGCATAGAATCCAAACTTAGGCAGCGGGATTAAATCACTAGCTTGAAATGGCAATAACACCTGAACAGTGTATCTGCCTTGCTAACCCGCACCTAAATGGGTGTAAGAAAATTTGGTGGGCTGATCGGCCCCACTGATAGAAAAAACCAAAACAAGATAGGGGGTATGGAACCCGGTTCCAAAAAGGGTCCGATAGCTACCAGCATACCGCGATACAGACATCTCAATTCTAGTGTGTAGGCTCCGGTAGCTTAACTCGCTATAAATGCTCTCAATTTTTAAACATTAAATTTTTTTGATGACACTCCGAGCGTTTTCGCTTTTGTTCATAACCCGAAGTCAACAGGACCCCTACAATCATAGCCTTTCTTCTACCATAGAAAGTTCCAACTCATGGTTGCCTTATATGAAGAAAACCAATGCAACGGATTTACCGGGCGCTTTGACACATACATGTCGAATTTTTTTGAATAATATTATTCGAAATCATGGAAGAGAGGTTCTTGTGCTGCTTGACGGAAAAATGACGCCCATGTTGATCACGGACGTCTTTATTACAAAATCCCACCATCATCTTGAGAACCGATACTTTGCTATCTCTCTTTTTTTAGATTACACAAAATTTAGGTAAAAGTGTACAGTATTGTATTATTATAGTTGTCTGAGCTGTATGTACTATTGTACTATTGTGTACAGTGCATACATCGTTACAACATATCCCACCAAGTTGAGGACCACAACAAGATACTTTTGGTCAATATTACGTTGCGCAAAAGTGAATGGTCAATGAGCAACAATTGCGCACAAAATTTCGCTTTACTCGTTGCACTTTATCATGCCTTTGCTTAAAGAGTATTTGCATCGGGAGTCATCTCACTGTGTACACTATCACATTGCTCAGCATCCCTGCGTGAAAGGCGTCGTTTTTGTAATCGAGATACAATCTGTGAGGAGTCCAAAGTTTTCCTTAATGGAAACAGTCACAGTGACTTAACAAATCAACAATACTTTTACACCCCAAAGACATAGGGTCTGGCCATTCAACAAAGAAGAATGTCGCTTCACCTCTTATTTGCATGATAACAGAGCTCCGTGAATTTTTCCACGTCGGATAGTGTTGCGACAACCCTCCAGGGAGCTCTCGACGATGTCCATCTCGTCTGCAAGCGATAGACCACTTCGATTCTCGACAATTTTGTCACTTCGTGACAGCTGTTTGCAGCTTTAAATTTGCTTATCGCGATGTGTTGAAGCTTTTACATGCCATGTCTCCAAGGCCTTTCGCTAACGCTGACAGCAAACAAGCGCTGAAACGCTTTGCAATGGCTTTCTCTTACACATGTCATTCCTTCTCAGGAGTATAGACCGACCGAGAGTAGAACAGCAGTGGCTGGGAAAACTTGTACCCTAGGTACCTTTTACTTGATTCAAGCACTGCGTGCGTCGATATATTTGTCTCATAGCTTTGTTAATCAGCTTCAGTGGAGCGGGTGATTAAAATAAGCGTTGTCTAACTTTTGACCTCGCAAGGTCCAAACCACGACGCGGACGTCTAGGTAAAACCCCATAAATTTATCATGTAGCAGCCTCACTCGTATCCGTGTGACATTTTTTACAGCTACCAACTAAGTATTTAATGTTCAACAGTATTCGTCCCCCGTCTTTAGCGAGAAGAGCGTTGCGACGGACGACCCTGTCATTTTTTCAAGGAAGATGATGTGCCAGTTCGTAAGTGCCAACGATGCAATGCGATCTTGTTATAATATCTCAAACTTTCATGTGCTGTTCAGTTGAAACAAGTACTGGAGCCGTCCTGGCGTACTTGCCGACCGACTAAATGTTTCACAAAAAGTTGACGACCCTTCGCTCATCGAGCAATGCTGACGAATCATGACTTTCTGGTGCTAGCTCTCGTAAAGTCTTTCAGTTGTGGCGGCATTTAGACTTTCTTTTGATGTTTCGGCGTGCGGCCAAACAAAAAACAAGAAGTTTAACATGTTAGATGCATTTTTGACCGTACCATCGCATAGTGTGGCTTGAGTGTTTTAGAGCTTCCAAGCCTTGTCACCACTCTAGAACAAAAGGTAGTCCAGCAATATATCGAGACGCTGCTCCATCTCCGACACGATCGTGCTTTTAAGACACAATCCGATGTGCTTGCATTCGTTTTGGGATGACACGAATATAAATTAGTACACTTTTTGCTATGACCGTAAGGCGTGCTCGTAACGCAGGCTTATAGATCGCGAATACTGAATGTGCCGGCAAGTACAAAATATTTTCCACACAATATTCTCAGTCATGTTATGCCTGCCTCTAGCATCGGCATGTTGCTTGTTCGAGTAGCATGTTCAAGACTTTGACTCTTGGACTGCAGGACATGTAGGTAGGTTTATATCACTCCAATTTTATTCCCACACCACGTGTTTACGTGTGTAGTGACTATTTCTGGTATCGGCGTGTTGTTTTAGAACATTATGGCTTTCATACAAAAAGACACGCTCACCAATAAATGAATATAAAAGGGAGCAAAGTATGTAGAGGCATGAACTTCATTTTAAGCGCATCTTTAAAAGTAACTGCAACTCGCTTCAGAATCGCGGTATCTTTGCGCATGTGATTTGGAAAATATCCTCCTCCCCGGAAATTACAGCTATTATCTGGCCGTTTATCTGCTAATCGTCATCGAATTACATACCTTATCTTGAACTCGCATCATGAGCAAACCCTGCTAAATCTTCGCTGTAAAGCTCAAATTTCCATTCCTCACGATTGCTACCGACAAGCTATGTTAGCAAAAAATTTCGTTAGGGAACATATGAGCTATACTCACAAGCCAAATTATCGCTAACAGCAGCGAGATGTGCCATCTTGTTCAAAATCATTGCGTATATATAGTCTTTATCACGGACAAACAACACTGTCAAAGTCGTCAGGCTGGCCGAAGGTCCGTTGATATGTTTCTCACGAGAGTACATACATGCTTGTCAACTGCATCACTAGTACATAGCGCTCACCGAGCGGTATGACTTGACTTTCTGATGTGACCATCTGAAGAAATATTATGTGCCGCATATAGTAATGTGTACAAGAGGAACTCATAGTGAGGCTCTACTACACGTGTCAGTCAGTGCTGTAATAAAGCAGGCTTTAAGATAAGTAATACCAGTAAAAACGCGCAACTAGGCGCTACGATGAAGAGAAATCTAAATTCCCAAGCTTCTCGCCGCACAAGGCTTTCAGCAACGCAATAAATAACGTGTCTGACTGGTTCGCTGTATGTATCGCCTAATCCACTCGTAACCATCGACAAATCGAAGCCGGGGCGTCGCGAAAGTGCATCGGCTGCTTAAACTTATTTACTGCCACGTAAGCCGACGCGGCTCAAGCCTTACCCTAAAGGTGAATTCGTCAACAAATGATTTTTAAATTAGTGTTAGAGACGTGGTCAAACATTGCTGTGCACGACGACGAATGACTCGCAAACGGCTTCGAGCTGAGCCTGTGTATTCTGAACTTGACGAGAAGCATACTTCAAGTATGAGCAAGGTAACTCTTCGGCAGCTTTAAGGTGCTGAGACTCAAGCGCAATCACTAGGTGATGTCCATTGGCGTTTGTATCGATTAGAGCGTAGCCTTATTGCAAAGACTGAAGCGTCACAGAGGACGTGGAATGGTTGATTTGGGTTTATAAAGCTAAAATCGGGGCATGCGTGAAGCTTTTTTTACAGCTCATAAATTCTGTTGCTTCTGCCGCGCCTCCAAACCGTTTGCATCCTTAAAGAAGAATGGTGAAGTGTCACGCCATGTCAGCATAGTGTACACTGTACTTGTACATTAGTTGGTCCGCCCAATCCGTTAATCCGTTTCCATGAATCCTTTGAGGCAGAGGACTGTCCTGTCTATGGCGGTCTTTGGCTTGAAAAGGTCTGCCCGCTTGGCATCCTTTCCAATGAAGCAACCAAGAAAGAACATCTCGTCCGCGCGAAAGTTTGCGTTAGAGAATGGCTTATCTTAGCTTTACACTCGAGCCTTATTCATAAGTTTTTAATGTGGCTCTTTACAACTAACTTTTCGTTTTCTGCGCGATCATGTGCATACCCAAAATGTGGTCTGAACAGCAAAGTCCACCAACGATTGAACGTCACTGGTGCCTAAGCCATTTCCTGTGGCATAACCAGCTAATTTCATTGCATCCCGCAAGGAGCACTTATTGGACTGAGAAAGATGTTGCTATTTTTCGTCAGCAGTTGTTTAGATACGCCAACCTAAACAGGACACCGGTGATGTACGAAGTGCAGCAAACTAGCTGTTCTGCGGTACATTTTGACTAGAAATCAGCGTTTGCGCCAAAATCATGTGACTGCATTTAGCTTTTTTGTAAGCTTGCATAATTCTTCACATGCCTATCTGACACAAAGAGTTAGACAAACTCTCTCTCACTAGCCCTGGTTCGTGCTTCGCACGGAAGAAAACCTACATGATCTCACACTGATCGGTCATTGCTGTCTGACGTAACACCCTTTTGGGAAGAATCAAATCAATTTCATGACACACTCTCCTATCCAGGGGTAAATCGCGGAGTGGATGGCTCCTCATCATGTCATGATATTTTTAATACGGGTTCAAAGGATCCGTAGGATTCTCAAAGACAACTATCCCAATCCTCGAATAAGGTACTTTGCCAGGATCGTCAGTGTCAGATTCACTCATAACGTATGATGAGCTAAGCTTCTCCTCCGGTACGAACCTACCGTTTATGTGACCTAACAATCTCACAGCTGCTTGCACATATTCCCGAGGGATAAATCATTCAGCTCTATAAGAGCTAGCAAGAGAAAATGCAAACCCCAAGGAATACGCCCGTCACTTCATTCGCGAGCCTTGTATCACTTACCTGTTGGACTTCACTGCTCCTCACGGCGGTGGTAGTGCTGACTCAGCTGTACGATCTTATATGAACAAGAATAACCCATTCCATTTACTTTCGAAATCTAGCTCTTGAGTCGCGAATTACGTTCTCACTTCATTTTATGTGGTCCTAAACTGAAGATTGTGGCAACCGGTTGTTTCTGGTTTTAACTGGCTCTGACACAGTAGACAACAGATCAAAACTTTTTTTAGTTGCACCGCCTCGAATACCGCGGCACCCAGTCACGTTTCCCCCTTTCAACAGAGATACCTCGACATACAATCGTTCTTCCGATCTCGTACTGAAACGTCGGCTTACTACCACTTCTGACTTCCGAGATCTGCTCAAGGCATCCAGCAATACCGTGAATACCATCTCACACAACTCTATATTCTGGATAGGAATCGTTGCAGCTTCGTACCAAAAGCGCTTCCTGAATAGGTCCATGACTACAATAGCCTCACTAAGAGAGAAGAGCATGGTATCTAGCCTTTTCGACTCCCAGTCGGCCCATGGCTCGTAGCGTTCCAGCCACGTCAAATTAGGATGAGATTTGAATCTCAACTTCACAACCGATCAGCGTTGAACGCAGTCACAATTCTCAAACTTCACCCAAACGTTTACCGTAGCCTTCGTCACGGTTATCAGTGTCCCCGTCTTGAGATACACGGATATCAAGTCCGAATTCGGCATTTCAATGCGTCCGTGTATTATCGATTGTTTTTGACAATCGCGCGGCCTGCAAGTATGCACAAATCTGTTTGGACTCAATATTTGCGTTTAATTATCCCTCATGACAATAGTCTTTATTTTCTGGTTAGACAGCACAGATCCCTCCTTTCTGATGTTCCATCACCTATATAAACACCAATACATCAACACTAACGAATGGATATATAATTACACAAAAGAGCTACCTATTGTACCGAGTTTAGGTAGTCTGTATTACCTACTTCTCTTTGCTTAAATTGAATAGCATATACAAAGTTACTTCGGTGTCTCGAAATGATTCGAGCGAAGCTACTATTGTGTGGTGTTGAAAAGACCTTGATTAAGCGATTGAAGCTAATGATTCGAGACCATAAATTGTCGCCTAGGCCGGAGTTATTGCCATTTTCACGGATTATTACTTCTTTGTGACTGGTGATCTGCATCGCAAAGCAGTGACCATGCGTTTTTTATTTATAACCCTACAAGGTAGACGCCAGGGTGAAGAACTACGTTAGGCATTGGTAGCACCCGCCAAGTGATTGCGATATATCCGGCACCGTTGCCGTCGAAGAGGTTACGCCGGAGCTTGGTCAGATGAATGCTGCATCCGGACTTGCAGACGGCTTGACGACAGTAACGAATGATCTGGTCAACCTTCTTGATTCCATTGAGCACTGGAACGCCGGTCTTGTTCGCTTGAGTAACATACTCACTCCACATGTCGAGGAGTATATAGCTAGCTTCGGTGAGACCCAAGAGCTCAAATGCTATTGTATGGCCCGCGCATCACACGAGTTGTCATCATTGTTGGCCAAGGCGAGGAGGGCGCGGTAGTCTTGAGTCACAAACGCTTAGCAGCTAATATCGCGCGATCAGGGTAGCGAGCGAAGTATCGATATACAATGATTATGAAATTCTGGTTCCCATCCTCTGAGCTGCTTGTGGGAGAGCCACGAAGGCTCAGACGAATGTGCCCCAACGAACCAGGTATTCATAAGCGTCTGCGAGGCCTCGGTTATCATCAATTCCTCGATCTCAACTCTTTCAGCGAATTATCGGGCTCAGGCCGCCCGTCACCCTTTCGGGCGCAGACGATGACCGACTAGTCAAGATTTCTGACCCGTCGTCTTGATTGGGGGTTCCTTGGGGGAGGCCCCGCATCGTTGGCTTTGGTACCAATTGTGTAATTAAATCAAGTCGAACAAAATAAATTGCATTGAGAATTGTCCAACAAGTGAAGTCACATTTTTTCTCGTTTTTTCGTAATTGATTGAAATAAATGATGCTTTCGCGATGCCGCGCCGCCCTTCAGGTCTCGATTTGCAACGGATCAATCTTCGCCATCCAAAATGTGCGCTGGATGGGTCGTGGTCCTACCATACAGGGCAGAAAGAATGCTGTGGATGCGGTACGGATCCACCAAACTTTACAATACACTGAGGCATCTGAGTGACAAGAGACCTTGTATTCGAAGGCAGAAACGCACAACCGCGAACGCCAATTTAGCGCGAGAGATTATGATAATTTCTAAAAGTTAGAAAGAATTTACGGTGCTGGAAGTTATTGATCACTGACAATGCAATTTGTCTGCAGCTGTGGGAGGTGACACAAGCAACGTGGTGAGTCAATTAAGTTTCAAGCAGTAATTTTGATGTATTGTTAAAGCTAATAGTGCTATTGGTTATATCTTCCTATCTGTAGCGACTCTCGGCCGTGATCAATAAGGCAAAGGCGGCAAACATGCCGAAAGACAAGATTGAGGCGGCCATTAAGCGTGGTGTTGACGGCAAAGACGGTAGCGTATCAGCAATTGCTTGTTTAAAAGTCCGACTTTGATGAGGTGTATTGTTTCTGCGCTGGTGGCTTCAGATAGCAACGCGGAGTATGTGTTGTATGAGGCCTCTGGTCCAGCTGGGAGTGCTTTATTGGTGAGGATGAAGCCAAGAGAATATCTATTGGTCACCGCTATTACTTAATTGTTTGCTGTTAGATTGAGACGCTGACGAATAATAAACACCGAACAGCTCCAGCACTGCGTCATATTCTAAGCAAATACAATGGTGCGCTTGGGATGAATGGATCAGTCGCCTGGATGTTTGAGCGCAAGGGCTACCTTGAGGTATAATTTGTTCTGATTTTATAGAGAAGTTCAAGCGTTTATACGTTTAAGTGTAGATCGAACTAAATTCTGGTGGCGATATCAAACCAGAGATTGACGAGGACACACTCATAGAGATTGCAGTAAGAAGCTGACTATCGTTTTTGCTATTGCCATGCTGTTGGTGTTGATCTCTGTTTTTTGCTGCTGTCAAGTTAAAGGCAGGTGCTGAGGATGTGGTGACGAGTGACGACGGTCTAGCTCAAGTAACGTGTGATTGCAATGATTTGGCTGCTGTTCGCAAGAGTTTTGCAGAGATGGGACTCGAGATAGTCAATTCCAAGCTTATTTACAATGCGAAGGAGTATTTGAACTTGGAAAGTGAGCAGCGTGAGATTTTCGACAAACTTATAGATGCACTTTTTGAGGACAACGATATCAACCAGATTCATCACAACGTAAGTGAATAAGTTGGATACTAAGAGGGAAAACCCAATGAGTTTTTTTATTACGGCAGCAATCTTGCCCTTGCTGCTCTCGTTTCAAATAGATATGCTACTTATTTCTGAATCTTCGTCATTATTCACGTTAGAGTTCTGAAAACGACATTCGCTTGTCATTTTTAAGTTGAGAAAACGTTAGTGGATCCTGCGCATATCGATTAGCTTCATCTGCATTGTCTGTTGACGGTGGAGACGGAAAATCATGCCCGATGGTCTCATGCTGATTAGGTGGCAGCTCCAACTGTTCCATCGGAAAAGTAGATACAACGTCTTCTGCATAGACAACGTCACGCTTACTTACTAGTTGAACTGCATCCACAATTTCGTCGGGACTGTTGTATCCATCATCTTCCTCCTCCGACTCGACATCAAACTCTCGCACGAGCACGTCCGTGTTGAAGTGAACGTGTCGACTGACAGCTCGCCACTTTTTCTTCTTTTGAAGCTGTTTTTGACCTGCGGACGATTGATACTCATCTCGAAATTCAAGTGGAATACGATTACGCGCCTCACGAATTTTCTTTGCCAGATCAGCCGCTTTTTGTTCCTCTGCTGTCAGACGCGCGTGCCGCACAGCTCGCTTGCGAGTGATCAATCCATTTGCACCTGTTCGTCGAGAAAGTTGACCTTTAAATCCACCGACAAACTCTACGACACTTGTTGCGCCTGATGACACCCGAACTCGTCCCGAAAAGTCAGGAGAATCAGCATCAGGAATCTCTCCATCTACTGCTATGTCATCGTGCTCGTTATCGTGTTCATGGTCATCATTGTGTTCTTCTTTACGAAGGCTTGAACGCATAGAATCCACATCACGTACGTTCTGAAAAGATCGACAGAGAGGATTATCATCTTCGTCATACGCATTAACCGCTAGAGGAGGCGCTGGAAGGTCTTTCTTTGGCTGAAGTCGAGGAAGTGTCTTGATTGAACTGCTGCTACTAGAATTGCTAGCTGTTTCAGATTCCACTAGCAAGTCGGAACTCGCTTGTTGTGCAGACAACATCCCAGTCGAATCAAGCAGTTGTACACTTGCGAGTTGCTGCTCTTGAAATTCTTGTGCTGTATCCTGATGTGCCGTAGGTTCCCAACAAGATCCAGCACGATTCCTGTCCGGATTCGGCACTGAAATACCATTGTGTGTGTCTTGCATTGTATTCTCCTTTTCCTGGCCAGTACCCATGTCAGCTAATCCAGTCTTTTTCTTGCTTTTGTGAAAATTTTTAAAACTTAACAGCGCTTTCGATCCTTTCTTAGTGTCCACATCACTTTCTGCTGATCCGTCACCTGTTGTTATCACTCCATCTACCAAATCTGGTCTCCTTGTCGATTGTTGCTGATGATTCCATCCGCCAGACTGTATGAAATTCAGATTCGATTCCTCAGCTTTAGGTTCTGATTGACTGGAAACAGGATTTAAAAAAATCTGACCAATGGTCGAGTTCTCAAAATATCTATTGCCATCTGACGCCGCGACGTACGGCGTCCCGTCATGTGCGTGCTCTACCACGTATGTCACATTAGGCTGAGGAGGCGTCGTGTCTATAATGTTATTCAGCGCCTGTGTCTTGCCAGTCATGACTTCGGTCAATACACTTGACAGCGACGACACGACAGGTGTAGGACGATAAGCACCAGGTAGGGCCGGATGGTACTCGTCTGCCTCCTTGTCGTCACTTATTTCGTCTTTAGAAGCTGAAACTCTGCGCGCAGGACGACGGGAGAATGAAAGTTCATATGTGGTAACTCCTGGTTTGACAAAGCGCCGACGTGGCCTCACACGTGCAGGTGGGCTAGGAAACCCGTCAACAGGGTCCAATTCGTCCACATCGTCGTCAAGAGCATCGCCTTCCTTGTCTGTATCGCTACTGACCGAGGGGCTGTGCACTACACGTGACACATGATTAGCACGACGACGCTCGGTTTCGTGCATTAGCGGATTCATCGCCAACATGCGCATGGGCCCGTTTGGCTACAGATTCACCCCTTTGGAAGAATTTGCTGCCAGCTTGGCTGTTTGGTGTTTGATTGCAGTGAATTGTTTCTCGTTGAGGATTTGAGAGAGCGCGTTAATTATAGAAGTGATTACTGGAGTGGGGAATAGTCGGATATTGGTAGCAGCTGAACCTTTTCAAACGTGGTGAACAATCTGGGTGCTAAACGTCGTTATCGCCGTCCTGTCTCCCGCAAAGATTGCCTCGATGGAATTGGGAGAGGCAACTTGTGACTGCCAAGGCAAGTCACGAACTGCCACATTGTATGTCCTTGTAGCAAGAGCAACGGGTACCTTCATGTTACATTTCAACGACAAGGTAATATACAGTAAAAAATACAGCTGCGGTTTTATCTTTCTATGGCTCACAATACATTTCATGACGTCTTTGAAAACGTCTAATTAAGATTATTATATTGCAACATTTGTGAGAAGCACACACTTTGGTTTTCAATCGAGTCTGATTTCTAACAAATGTGAACACTTCACCAGGTTCGTAGTGCAGTCCTGACCAGTTGTCTTCTCGTCTGCAGTATTACCAATAAAAGTTTGCTTTCCTGCGACCACTGTCTTGAATAAAAGGTACGTATTTGGAACTTTACTACCACACTATGCACATATATTTGAATTATTGATCTCAAATTTTGCCATTAGCTAGAAATCTAAACTCTTGCACAGACAATGAGTATCGACGGCATGGATAATGCTGGAGATACCACGGTTTTCTCTCAGCAATACGTGAGCCGTGCCTGCGAGTTTACATCAGATGAGCCAAAAGATAAACGTCCCTGTGCTTGCATAAAACGTATAGCCTGCAAGAGTCAGTCCAAATTTTGTATTGCGGTCAGTATTGTTTGTGTAAGTTAGTGAATTTTTCTCCGAATAAGTTTATTGTAAAATATCTAGTTCTGAACAAGCGCAGTCTACTGAACTCGTAATGTTCCGCTCAGAAACTCGAAAATCATTTTCGAAATCATGTAAAATTATGATTTTAAAGTTTCATTGTTTGGAGAACCATGAAGTGCTTTTTTAAGGTTTCAATGGTTTTGTATTCATCATCAAAAGAAGCACGCAAAGATATGTGTACCACTGTTACCGCTTTTCAATTTTCCAGTCAAGTGATTGGTTTTAATTACTCCTTTGTATCTGCGCAGTATCTCTCCCATTCTTGAAGACTCGAAGATTTTAGTTGATGTGTTTGTTGGCCAAGTCTGAAGTTGTAATTGGTGGTGAAAGAAACATCAAATATGCAAAGAATACTTGCATTGCAAGCTTGTTCGCGTCGATAGCAATCTCAAAGTAAAGTATTTTGCCTTTAAATTGGTTAGTTTTCGCTTGAGTTTTAGCATGTTTTAAGGATCCATTGCAAAAAAATCAGTAAAATTGTATCGTCTTTGAGATCAGCGTCGCCGACCCAACGATAACAATAACAATATATGAAGGAGACGCGCAGACCACATCAAGGTGGGCGCGGCAAATTCGAAGCTTCTCATGACATTTAACGGTTGTGCATTGGCTTTTGAAAGCTGACAGCTGCTCCGTACCACTGTTTCCAAAGCGCAACCCACTTGTCCAGACGCGAGAGTTTTACGATATGGTCAAAGGACTCGACGAGCCAAGCCTTACATAATAAAATCATTAGTAAAGGCTCACATATAAACAGGGGAAACGAAGACACAAGGAAACTTAATCGCCGCGATATTATTGAGGGAGGTAACTTATTTTGTGCAATAATTAATTGTAGAGTACGCGAAAGAGCTACTCAGTTCACGTACAAATATTATCATAGCCCAAGCTCAAAGTTTGGCGCCAGCATTTAAAAAAGATAGATAGTTGATCGCCTCATTGGGTCCAACTTAAACGTACCTGCAGCGGGGCTGCCGTAGCTCTTTACTTAGAGGAAACTAAGCTAAGGTCACCGACCTAACGTTCTATACTAGAACCGGTATGAGTGTAGCGGATCGCATCCCACTAACTCCAACAGTACCCAAAATCTTAACCCAAGGCAATTACACTCTTCTGTTCAAAATCTAAACTTTATATTTCTTTTTTTTATTTGCGGCAGAGCCGCCTATATCTAAATCTATAAGTTTCATAATTTTATAGTAAAGTTTGATTAATATGCATAAATACTAGAAGTCCCGACACGTAGTGGCTTCTTGTCACAGTGTAGCCACACCATTGTGTGATTACATCGTCTTGTGTAATCCACACCTTTGTATGGCCACACCATTGTGTGATTACATCGTCGTGTGTAATCCACACCTTTGTATGGCCACACCATTGTGTGATTACACCGTCGCGTGTAACCCACACCTTTGTATGCTCACACCATCTTGTGTAACCTACCCTTTCATAATAGGGTACGTGTATTCCCGTTACAGTACCTGTCTCGAGAACCTACCTCTGCTAAGAAACAAAAGCGCTATTGGCGAGAGCACTGGACCGAGACGGTCAACAAGCTAGACATTGGAATGTCCCAGTTGGTAGACACCAACGGTGTATCGGACAGGAGTCCCGAGCGTGGCTCGCGGGCTGATCGTGGAGTGGCACGTAACCCACTGAGAGATGAGCAATCGCTGCATGTAATGCATGACATGC